GGGGGGCGGGGGGGGGGAGTCTGATCAGGAATCGCATCACGGAACCGAAGCAACCGTGGTGCGGTTCGATCCGTGGGACCGGTTCACGCACGACCCCTTGTGTGGAATTTGTAGAGATACATGCATTGGCAGCACATGATGCCCCCGAGATAGCCCGGTAGCGAGATCGTGAGGTACAGGCGGTTTGAGTTGGAACGTGCGGCTATCCTTGCAGAAGAAACTTGGCTCTCCCGTATAGTGGGGTCGTGGTCCATTCATGTATCCAAGAGCGCTTTGTTACTTCCTGCGCTGCTTCTCTCTCGCGACGCGAGGGGAGGGTAGGCTCTCTTGCTTTTTGTCGGCCGGCCCCCCTAATGCCCTAGGCAAAAGCCGCCGGGGGGGGGTGCGGGTGCGCAAGAGGGTGCTCGTCGGAATTGGCTGTGATGATTTATTTTGGGCACACCGGCGGTGTCGGGGGGGGCGATCATGCTCGGTCGGGTGTGTTTTGTTCGCCCTTACTTCAACCCTCTCTGTCCTGTTGGCCAAGTATCGACGAGTACGCGGACTGGTCGACTGGCTTGTTGCCCTATTGTGTTAGTTGGTCTTCTTTTTATGTCGAAAGCGTTTTTTCGTTTTTGTCCGTGTCCCTCGTTTTGACACACTGGCAGCAATGACAAAAAAGGAGGGGTTTTATCCCTGGTCTGTTTTCGTGTGGCCGTTTTTGAACGATACCGGCGGCGGGGAAATCGCATTAGGGGGGGCGGGAGGGGGGGGGACTGTTGTAATTTACTGGCAACGTGACTAGCATAATGCCCCGCGTCACACTTCGTGCTTGGACCTTGCGGGTTGCTGTGGTCGTCGTTTGTTGTTGATGCGGTGTTCTCGTAATTGGCTCGAGTTGTGAGTCATCTCTTCGTCGTTCGTTCTGGAATTGTCGGGTAGGGGGGAGGTGATGCGCCGCGCGTTGCTTCTTGGAGACCCGCCCCTCCCCTCCCGACAATCATCGGCGCTGAGGGGCTCATCGGTGTCCAGTGGGTGAGTGGCTACACTGTATTGTACACTTTTCTTTTCTTTTTTGTTCTGTTTCGGTGTTTGACAGCGATGAAGAAGCGGGGCAGACTGTGCCGTGTGCGTGTCGTTTTCTTTCATGACGCCCCCCCCCCCCCCCCCCCCCCCCCCCCCCCCCCCCCCCCCCCCCCCCCCNCGCCCCCCCCCCCCCGCCCTCTCGTCATCGTGTTGTGTATTTGTCTCGCTAGGTATTGTTCCACACATGATGTTTTCTGTTCTGGCGTCTTTTTTTTCTGTTTGTTTTGGGGGTCTGACGTCAACACTAACATCAAGAGTCCTGTTGTAACGCAGACATGGTAGTACTCGTAGTATCGCGTGCGTGGGAGGGGGGGGGGGG